TACTCTGGATAGAGCCTCAGGAATCCTGTTCTGATGCTTATTAGCTTTTTCTAGACAATATCCCTACATCACTTTAGAGTGAATGATATTAATGGCTACAGCAGGAAGCCATGCAAATTTTGTCAAATTGGCTTTTTAAGTGGCTACTCTCTACATATAGACAAACTTTTCCTCCTGTTACAGTCCTTGAAACTTGTAACTTAACTCATGAGTGGAAGTGGTTTATAGATATACCACTCTGTGACAATTCTTCAGTTCTTTGCACAGATAATGAATTGCTATGGATAACTGTTTTGTTAAATTTAAGTTTCCTAATTGACTTCACTAGGCTTCACAACTTATGAATCCATAAAGACAGTGAAGTAAAGCTCTCAGTAATTTTTCTTTATCAATAAATCCTCCCATAAAAGTCTCTCTTACCCTTAAAATAATATGAGTGCTATTGCAAAGTTGTGTGCCTCAAACAATATTTTAACCAAAGTACTGAAATCCAAGGTTTCAGGTACAACTCAGTTATATTTACTTGGTGCAAAACTGTAGTTTTCCACCTTTCTATAGCATAAGCTTGGAAGTAGATTCTTTTATCTACACTTTCCCCATTCTAGGAATTCTAAAAATCATAAAATTACGCAATGCTAGAGATATCCATTTCAGTGACTTTCTAAGTTTATCGTGCATGTGAACCATCTTCAAATTCTGATTTATTAGGTTTGGTATAAAGCATAAGGATTCTTCATTTTTAAGAAGCTCCAAGTGAATACCAATGTTGCTAGTCCTTTGAGGTACATACCAACACTTCTCATTCTACAAAAGAAATAAAGTTTCAGAGATTCAGCTGCAACTTATTCTAAGTCATGTTTTTAAAAATATGCTATTCAAAGATATAAAAGTATAAATCAACAAATATTAATTATCTCCAGCATTAGCTCCTTTACTTTGAGTTGGTGTAACAGAAGGAACCCATTTTATTATTACATTTGTTTTTAGGCTTGTTTGAAAAATAATATAATTTAAGTGCTTTTTAAGTTTTGAATTTGGTATAAAATATTTTGTTTAACACACAGTTCCACTCAAAATATGAAATAGTTAATGAGCAATTGTCCAAGAAGTATGAAAACTGATGCTACAGAGAAGTTGTTATAGAGTCATAACCCTTCATAAAACCTGTCATTAGCCTAATACTATTTCTCATGGTGGTCAATCCTAGTTGTCTGCATAAAAGAAGGATGAGAAAGTGTACATAGGGGTTAAAATATCCAAAGTATTCATTATAGATAAAGCAGGTGAGGTAACAGCTGTTCTTGACAAGTAAAACAGATACGATATATTCTTTTGAGAATATTGTGTAGAAGGAGAGTCATGTAAATATTCAAAAGAAAATAAACAAAGCCCGGAGCAATCCTCAAACTATATGAATAACAACACATTTTAAGGATGAAGGAGCAGATATAAAATAATAATCTATCTGCCTCCAATCTATCATTATATTTTTCATCATAACTTCCATAAAAGTGAAAAAAATAGATTATGTTTTGTGGACTTTGACATATGAGGTAATATAAGTATAATAAAAGAATCATATGAACCCATGTTTCTGGTTTATTGCTCATAAAATTGGCATCAAATGGTCATCAATAACTGATGAACAGATAGAGATGCTCTTTGTTTACTATACCTCGTCAGCAGGTGATAGTAGATTTATATTTGAAGTTATTGCTCCCAATCTTTCTCAGGCCTAAGGATTTGTTCTCTTAGACACTGGTTGTTGAATTTAATAGTGGTTTTCAAGATGTTGCTTCAAAACACAAGAACTGTCTAATTTACCTGGGCTAAAGATAATTTGTAATCTGCAGTGCCTCTTTCAATAGTAGAAGAGACTAAAAGGATGCTACGCTATAGGTGACATTAATTTTAGTTAGGAAGTATATGCACGGCAGTGACGGCACAAAGAATAAAGGTAGATTTTATATGGTACTATGGTATTCACTTAGACACTTACTCAAATTTTTCATTCTATTGTTTTTCAATAGCTTTTTATCCATAGGCCTTTTGTTTGTTCTGTTTCATTGGAATGTCTGATTTCTCAAATAGTTTATTGTAGACCTTTCTCTACTTCAGATATGCAAGTGTGTATGTGTGTCATATCTAATTATATAGCTATATAAATATATACATATTCATACATGATAAAATATATGTCAAAATTGCATTTTTCTTTCAGAAAAACAGATATTCCTAGTAAGATTTTTCTGGTTATATTCATGAACCAAATCTTATTTAAATGTCAATGTGTTAGAGTCCCAGCATCCCACTCACTTCTATTTTATATTTATAACTCACTTGTAGTGAGTTCTGTAATTCACTACAAGTTCATGAAGATTAAGAAGTATCAAGTGCTTATGTGATACTCACTAGCAGCATGCGCTGCTCCAACTGCCTTACATATTTATAATTGTCCCATCTTGACTGTAACTCTGTGGGGCAGCTTCTCCTACTGTTTTCACTTGATTGATGATGAACGAACTGTACACAACACAGGGCTAATAGCTAGTCTTAGAAAATATTGAGATTGGATTCTAGACAGTTTGCCTCTCAGTAAGTAAAATAATAGATGTAAAATTAAATTTACACCATTGCTACCAAGAACTTTCCCACAAATGTTATTTTTTTCTCTGTACTTGGTATCAGTTTCTCCCTGTTCTTATTTTACATCCCTAAAACATTCAATTTTCTAATTTAAGTAAGCGTAGAGAATAGAAAGAAAAATATTTAGTAGTACACTTAAAATTAGTATGTTACATAGCTTCAGTCTTAATATTAAAACTATCAATGGTAAAATCACAAATTTTATTTTTGTATTCTTTGTAGCATTACAAAAAGAGCTTTAATATTTTGTATTACGGTTTTTTTTCCCTGCATTATTCTGACTTTTTTTTTTTTTTTTTTTTTTTTTTTTTAGCTAAGCCAACTTATTAGCATTAAGATTTTTTAAATCGGCAAACTACTTCTTGATAGAACGGCTGAAAAATTCTCATTGACTATGCTACTACATGTTTTGTCATGCCTTCTGATAGCAGAAATATTCTGAACCTAAAAAAAACTTAAGTGGTTTTCACATGTTAAAATAAGAATAAAAATGAATGGTATAAAGAAAACTCTTTAGTTACAATAAACATCAAAACATGACTTTTGGTTACTCTTGCATTCTTATGACAGGAAAGAAACTGAACAGGCCATATAATAAACTCAATTATACCTGTCTGCTTATTATTATAACTCATGGTTATCAGATAAAATGCATGATGGAGTAAAATGGCAACTTAATAGTTTCATAATGGCAGTTAGCTACAGTATACAAACTTAAATGTCTTCTTTAAAGCTTCAGGCTCTTCTTAAATAGATGCATTAAACTAATAAGTGTTGGCACAATAGAATTATCTACTTAGCAGATTTCTTGTGCGTTTTCTTACCTAACTCTAACACAACTGAAAACACTCGACTTAGAATTTTCTAAGAGTTAATAGTTTGCATTATTATCTGAATTATTTAAATATTTTTCTTATTTAGTATAGACTCTCCAGTATAAATCTGTCAGAATGGTTTATGCTTTGAAGTAAGAACTACTGTTTGACCCTCAAAATCTCATTCGAAGATTAAAAACTTTATAACTTGCATTTCAAGTGGTCAGATAGCCATTAAACTATCCAGGTAAAGTGTTTGAATAAGGAATTATTGATTAAACAAAAACCTCTGAATCACAAATGGAAGAGAAAATGATTGTCAGTCCTCAGGGTTTTATTTTAAATTGTATTTCAGACTTTTTATTTAAAAAATGTTTTGAAAGATGTCTCAGTGGAAGGTAAGTGAAATTTCCTTTGCACCACACCCTGAGAATGAGATGCATCTGTTATTTCTAGAAAATACTAAAGGACAATATTACAGTTGTTTTCCTAAATTAAATCATAATGAATGGAAAGTGATCTCTGTTTATCATTAACAGCTATTTGTCTGGCTTACGGGGTGTCTGAGGTTTAGATGCTGTATTACTCTTCTCAGGCTATAATAACAAAATAGCATAGTCTGGGAGACTTAACAACAGAAATTTTCCCACTGTTCTGGAAGCTTGAAGGCCATGATCAAGGACAAGCAGGGTTGGTTTCTGATGAGGTATCTCTTCCTGGCTTGCAGATGGTCCTCTTCTTCCTGTGTCCTCAAAGAGTACAGAAAGAGAGGAATCTCTTTTGTCCTCACCTTATATGATTGCCAATCCTATTGAAAGCCCCCAGCCTCATGACTTTGTTTAAGCTTAATTACACAATTCAGCCCATGGTAGATGCCCAAATTACTGACACAGATTGAAGAAACGTAAAAGATTATATAAGATCCAAGATAAATGAGAGTACTCCTGAAGTTCTAATATACCGAATCAAGCCTCTGCACCTAGTTGTGGAGATTGCTAACGGCTTGGTAACATCTACTTGATAAATACTTTGCAAATAATGAGTTTCAGCAGCACAAGATTCTGGAGAATCTCTACAGCAGAGAAGCTGTAGAGACCCCAGAGTTGATGGCTTCCTGGAGCGGAGGTGGTTGGCACGCAGTCAGCCTCACTTCTCATTATCATGCTTGTGAGTCATAGGACCTTGGCTATGGTGCTGCTGAGGATGTCACAATTCCTCTCTGTTATTCTTTCTTTCTCCTTCCTTCCCTCCTTCCCTCCTTCCCTCCTTCCTTCCTTCCTCCCTCCCTCCCTTCCCCCCCCCCCCTCTCTCTTTCCTTTTGACAGAGTCTTGCTCTGTAGCCCAGGCTAGACTGCAGTGGCGCAATCTCGGCTCACTGCAAGCTCCACCTCCCAGTTCAAGGCATTCTCCTCCCTGCCTCCGCCTCCCGAGTAGCTGGGACTACAGGTGCCCGCCACCATGCCCAGCTATTTTTTATATTTTTAGTAGAGACGGGATTTCACCGTGTTAACCAGGATGGTCTCCATCTCCTGACCTTGTGATCCACCCGCCTCGGCCTCCCAAAGTGCTGGCATTACAGGCGTGAGCCACCGCGTCCGGCTGTTCTTTCTTAAAGCTGAATAAACTTGGTGTTGGTTGAAGCTTACTGTGCCTTGTTAGTTTGACAATGTAAATCTAAGACCTCTGCTTCTGGGTGAGCAGAGTGGGTGCTGCAACTGTTAACTGTCTGAGACTATGCAAAGGGAAACATGAGAAAGAAATGTACTTGCCCTGTGTAATAAAGCAGAGGCTTATGATGTGATGCAATTGTACAATGGAAGAAATAGGAAGGATGGTGAATTGTGGGGCTGAAAACTGGAGGATGGTAGAAATCTCTGTAGGGAACAGTAGACCCTTGAGCCCTACTAGAACCCACACAGCCAGACAACTTCCTCTTCTTTTCTGTCCTCACTGGCATCCAATCTCTGACCACAATTCTATCTTCTGAAGAAATCAAACCAGTAAGGACTCCAACTGAGAAAAATAAGAGATCATGGAAGTCAAAGGTGAGTTAGATGCTGAAAGTAAGTGAATTAAGTGAAAATCTGCTTACGTAATGATAAAATTCGCTATCCCCCGTTTCTACTTGTTCTTTGAACACATGCAGCTAGGTACAGTTTTCTTCTGGCTGCTCCACAGTAAGATAAAAAATATTATGTTATCCCACATAAATCTGGTTGCAGAGAAAATGCATGAAATCCTCAAATTTGAGGACCCACAAATAAACTTTACTTGCCACAAGATTATCTTCCAACAATGCCTAATAATTGACAATTTCTGCTCATGCACACAGATAAGGCTTCTGATCTGTTGTATAGTAGGTACTTCATTTTTGAACATGAATGGACCACATTCCCCAGATATTTGATAAAATATTTGATAAAAAAGAGAAATCAAAATAACAAGTAGGTGAAGTATAGTTAAGAAAACAGTGATAATTTATAGAATTTTTTTCTAAAAATCAGCTACAATATTAAAATGAGAAGCTATATCTATGGAGCAAGGACAGAATGATACAAACACAATAATGAAGGAACAAAAATAATTTTGAAACTAAAAAAGGACAGCAGAAAAATAAACTGAAGAATAACACAAAGATTCTTAATTCTACTAGAATTGTATCTGTTAGGTGGACAAAAGATAAATAGGTGTGTGATAGAAAAGACAAGATTAAAACATCAGAAAGATGAAAAAAATGTAACCTCCTTTGCACTCTTGCTCACAAAACTATTATAGGATGTGTTTCATCAAAATGAAAAAGTAAACCAAGATAGAGAAAGAAACTTTTAAAAATGGGTTTTGGCCTGGCACGGTGGCTCACGCCTGTAATCCCAGCACTTTGGGAGGCCGAAGTAGGTGGATCACGAGGTCAGGAGTTCAAGACTAGCCTGGCCAAGATAGTGAAACCCCTTGTCTACTAAAAATACAAACAAATTAGCCAGGCGTGGTGGCAGACGCCTGTAATCCCAGCTACTCGCGAGGCTGAGGCAGAGAATTGCTTGAACCCGGGAGGCGGAGGTTGCAGTGAGCCGCGATCGCGACATGGCACTCCAGCCTGGGCGACAGAGTCAGACTCCATCTAAAAAAAATAAAAAGAAAAAAGAAAGGAAAAAGGAGATTTAGCACAGGAAAACATGAAGGAGCAGTCCTAGATCAACCTTTCCACAGTAGACCAAGAGAAAAACTATTTCAAATGGGAGAAAAACAGCTCTGGGAAAAAGGCCATGAAGAAGATAATGTAGGGGTGGGAGGATGGAGATAAAAAGAACTGATATATTATTTGCTCCATCTGACCACAGGGACTGTAGTATGGAAAGTTGTTTAAGACCTCTAAGTATAATTTTGGATAGTCAGTGAGTATTAGATATTAAAAAAAAAAAAGCACAACTAAGCAAATGAAAAAAGAATGTCACCATTATCAATTCCAGGGGTAAAAAAGGTTTATGAAATGGAAAGATAAGCATAAATATGCTACCTTTCTCAGTAGTGGATAAATTTCCAGTTTTAGCCCTACAAACATTGAATATTGATTTAATCAAAGCACCTATAATAGGATGAGCGAGAGAGCAAGAAGGAGAAGTATAAAGAAGTTAAAACATATCATAATATGCCATGCAATAGATCACATCTAAAATTGATGTACCAGGAAATCACTGTGGGTTGGATCATCTGTTGTCAACTTGGCAGGCATCAAACCCACCTCCTTTAAGATCTTCTCCAGAAAGTAGAAGCTGGAAACTGTTTTCCACATTCCCCTTCTTCTTAGGGTTCCAATGAAAGGTACTTGCGTGAGATTTGATAGGTCAAGCAGGACAGACCTTTATCAGGTGAGAATTGAGAACAAATGCTTGACAGCTGTGAGAGTTCAGAAAGCCTCCAGGTGAGCTTTTGGAGTCATCATCATTGGTGCTGATAACTGAGGTACTTGGATAGCAACCATCCAGAGTCTTGAGATTTACAGTAGCTTTGTCTGAGGACACATGACCCACTTTACATATTTAAGCTAAAATCCTCTTTGGTTGTTTTCCACATTGTTTTTCTCCTCAGTCTTTCCAATAGTCACATAAACCTTCAATTTCTTGTATCAAAACCATTAAAACATATAGGCTGGCTTCTGTTTTCTGAAGTAAATTTGTACTGAAATAAATACTGCAAAATTTGTATTTGAAATATGGAAATCAATATGAGAAGAAACAGCTAAAAAGTTTAAATCTTAATGCTAGAGACGGAATTTTTTAATTTTTGCAGGTACATAGTAAGTGTATATATTTACGGTTACATGAGATATTTTGATACAAGCATGCAATGTGTAATAATATTAGGTTAAGTGGGGTATATATTTCCCTGACATTCACATGTTGAAACCTAATTCTCAATGTGACAGTATTTGGAGGTGAAGCCTTTGGGAGGTGATTAGGTCATGAGAGTAGAGCCCCCATGAATGACGTAAGTGTCCTTACAGAGATTCCAGAAATCTTCCTTGAACATTTTCCCTATGTGTGGATAAACGGAGAAAAAGACCATCTATGAACCAGGAAGAGAGCCCTCCCCAGGAACCAAATCAGTCCTCACTTTGCTCTTGGACTTTCCAGACTCCAGGACTGTGAGTAATAAATTTCTGTCATTTACAGGTAACCCAGTTTATGGTATTTTGTTACAGCAGCCTGAATGGACCAAGACACTTGGGAAATGGAAAGAGGGAGTAAGATAGATTTTTAATATCCATATTTATTATCATGATCTTGAACACACACACACACGAAGTTTCTAACACAGAGAAAATTATTATTTACTCATAGCAAATAAACATGTGGTTTCCTGGTACCTTAACTTTTTAACCCTGGTGTAAAGCAATGAGATCCAGATGTTATCCTATACATACTAATTTGTATTGTAGGAGAGTAGTTCAGAAAAAAATAATCGAGGTATTTTGCTTGTTGGGAAGCATGTTTTTACTCTGACCTTTTGGAATGTATATAAATCTCTCCAAGGGAAAGGTAACATTATTGTGTTCAGCTTTTGAACTTAGGAGTATCTTTGAAGTCGCATGTCTCAGTAACCTGTACCCTCCCCCAATTCCTCAAATGTATTTCTCTAGAATTCTTTATCTCAAACAGACATAATTTATCTTTCCAAACTGGCCCATGTCCCGACTTTCTGTAAAATTTACTCAGAAAGCTTTACCTGTCAAAGCTGAGTTTATTAAGCTTAATACAGAAATGGAAAACCCCACATTCACCATCTTTTAGTATCAAAAGGCAGGGAAAAGATAATTGATATATTTTGTCCCCCAGACTCAAATAGATTAGTATGTATATTTCAAGGCAAGAAAAATGATTGGGAGTTAATGTCCAAGTTTGTAATATACTTGTTGAAGATTAGTAGACACAGCAAGACCAGGCTCTCAAAATCAACCTCGGCATGCTGGCTATCGTCCTGGTAAGTGAGCACTTTGTCCAGGTGAGCAGGTTGTTGTGTGTGTGTGTGGGGGTGTGTTTGTTGTGAGTCTAGAGTTGACAAATTTTACGCCTTTCTTAACTTTTATTTTTTTCTGCTTGCTCATTACATGACTTGAAATAGTTTACAAGTCACTGCATGATATGATTTGGATCTGTGTCCCCACCCACATCTCATGCTGAAATGTAATCCCCAGTGCTGTTGGTGGGGCTGGGTGGGAGGTGATTGGATCATGGATGCAGTTTCTAATGAATGGCTTAGCACCATCCTCCTTGGTATTGTCTTGATGATACTGAGATCATCAAGATACTGAGTCTCATTGAAGATACTTGGTATTGCCTTGATGATACTGATACTGAGTTCTTGTGAGATCTGGTTGTTTAAGTGTGCGGCACCTCCCCCTTCTCTTTTCTTCCTGCTCCAGTCATGTAAGATGATCCTGCTTCCCCTTTGTCTTCCACCATGATTGTAAATTTCCTGAGGCCTCCCTAGAAGCAGAGCAGATGGCCAACATCACGCTTCGTTTAAGCCTGCAGAACCGTGAGTCAATGAAACTTTCCTTTATAGAGTATCCAGTCTCAGGTAGTTCTTTATAGATGTGGGAAACGGTCTCATATACTGCCTTTTCTCCAATTTGTAGCCATCTTCAATATTCTATCCAGGATTTCATGGATAATTTTTCTGTGCTCACATATTCTTTTCTCTAGCAGGCCACAACCAAGCTAAATTTCATATGTTTATTCAGGAATATGAACATCTCTAGATCAAGAAACTATGTCTGTGGTTTGTGGCATAGTAACTTATATAGTTAGCACTTATGAAATGTTTATTATGTCAATGGACTCCTATTGACAAAAATCTTAACTTCTCTCTTTATTCTCCCACTATGAGGCTTCAAATTTTATAGAAACTGTATTCATGCAGTTGAGTCTTTCAACCAGAGAGGAGAAACAAGTTGTATAAATTAAGTATAGTGCCCAGAACCAAAGCTAGTATTTCAAACAGAGCTTTTAACTCTCAAACAGAGCTCTGAAACAAAGAGTTTGTAACTCTCTTCTTCCAGATCTTCTGAGGAGATGACAAGGGGCAGGAGATCAAGTTCAATGACATGGCCAATGATTCAGCCAATCATGCCTACATGACTGGCTACATAGTGAAACCCCAATAAAAACTCTGAACACCTAGCTTGGAGTGCTTCTGTGGTTGCCAACACTCTGTGTATCATTACATTTCAATGTGCTGTGAGGGTGACACTTTCTGATTTCACAAAGAGAAGACAACTGGAAGCTTAGGGTCTGAGCCTCTGCCAGACTTAACACCATGTGTTTTTTCTCTGGCTGGTTTTGGTTTTGTATCCTCTCTGCTATAGTGAAGCTGTAATCATAAATATAGCACTTCCCTGAGTTCTGTGAGTCATTCAAGTGAATTCTCAAACCTGAGAGGAACCCTCAAATTTGTAGCCAGTTGGTTAGAAGCGAGGATGTCCCTGAGATCCTTGAGCATGCAGCTGATATCTGAAGTAAGGTAGTCTCATGGAAGACCTGTAAAATTTGGACTAACTCTAGATAGATAGTGTTAAAAGTCATTGCACTGCTATTTCCCTTTCTGCGAAATACTGAGCAATTATCTGTAATGATCTCAGCCCTTTTTGGACCTACCATCATTTGTAGAATGCCTGTGACCCCTATCCAGAGTATTCAAGTCATTCTGAGTTTCCTGAAAACCACAGGGAAGCCACTGCCTGTGGCTTCTATGGCCATCTGCCATAGCTTCTGGCATGACATTATTTTGTCTTATTGAAAGAGGCTATAAGCACTACAGGCTAGTAACTACCTGAATTTCCAGAGTGGATTTTGTGATGTGCCACATAGCCTCCTTTTTAGGACTGAAATATGTAGGCAATGTCACTGGCTTACTGCCCTCAGATGACAGTCTTTTCTGTAAAATGTCCCATGTTGGAGACAGCTGCTTTACCCAAGTGACAACCTACATTCAATTACGATACATGTAGGAATGTAAAATCCCAGTTCTCTCATTATAATGCAGGCGGTGCTGAAGGCTTGACACAGCTTCAGCGCTCCTTGTAGGTTTGGCCTTTGTTTGGACCACATCACTGTTTAGCTTCTCCTTCTCTCCAACCCTGCCTCATTTCATTCCTTTTTAAAGTTTTCAAGGACTCTGTGGTAGAAATCTTGTGTAGTAATCTTTTCAGATTTTGCTTCCCAGGGAAGCCAATCTGCAATAGTTGGCATTGACTGGTCAGAGAAAGAAGAGATAGAATTCAGAAGCTTAATTACCTGCTAGCTCACATTTAGGCCTCCATAACTTTCGCCAGATGAACAAAAATGAACCTTGTACAAGACAGCAATGTTGTTAAGTGCTTCAATATATTATTGAAAGGAATGCAGTAGTAAGTACAATTTATCATGATGATGAGTAATCTGAGGTAACAACTGACATAAAGTATAGAAAAAGCAAGTGGCTGTTGCTAAGCGCAATTGATACTTTGAAGTAATTAGGCAGAAATTCGAAATTAAATTTAAAACCTAGAGGGCTTCCTTGATAGCACAGCAAGCCCTAACTACAGCCAGAGAGCAGGTAAAGCTGAGGACCAAGCCAAGAACTTAATGATTAAAGTACCAGAGCTTCAAAGAAGGCTAAATGATGGACCAAGGCAATTATCCTATGTGATGTCAAGGCACTGATTAAGAAATGCAAACTTAGTCATGGGATGAAGGCATCTGGGTTGATATGCTAGAACAATCGTGATTCACAGACTCTCCTGGACCATCTGTTCATGCAGAAGAAGCCCACGCCTCCCTGGTAAAAGCTGACATACTTCCTTCCTTAAAGACAGTGTAGAGGTCTCCCCCTGTAGGAACACATGTGTCTTATCCTGCACTCATCTCCTTTCCTAGATACTAGACCAATTATTTGGATGTCACATCTTAGTTGGAGAAAGTGTTTGGTCAGATAAGGGATTAAAGGTACCATTACACAAAGAGCTGCAGGAAATAGTCTTACTTTCCCCTGGGGAGAGAAATGAACCTCATCCTTCAGGGAAGGACAGGAGAGAAAATAGAAATGCATGGTACAAAAATATCGTTCATAATACATACATTGAAATGAATGAATGAATGACTCAGCTCATATCACCCCTGCAAGAATATTCTATGTCCTATCAAGGCAGAAATGCTCCTTGTTGTGCATGCTAATGACCTTTTTTCATATGTCCATTATAGGAATTATTCCATTGCTGTTATTTTTCACAGATATGTCTCCTCTGCTACTGGAGGAAATTCTGAATAAGAGTGAGTGCATTTGATTTCTCTTTGAACACGTATGAGATAACTAGCATGGTGTCTGGCTTTGAAATGAAACACTGAAACCTCTATGGTTGCTTGTAATTTTAAGGCCATTCTGACTGAAGACAGACAAAAAGTGAGTCAATGATGAGCCCTCAAATTTTAGGACTCATTATTGACTCACTTTCTATCCACATGCTTCATATGTTTTTGTATTAATGAGTAAGTAGGTGGATGAGGATAATGCATATTTACTTAATCTTTTAATTAAATTCAGTTGAGATGATGGGAAGCCTCTCTCTCAAAGATATCCATCCAGTTTGATGGCCTTGTACAGCAAACATCGGGCTATGTTTGAATTTGAGTTCACATTATCCTATTAAAATGATAATACTAGGTGAAAGTTTCTTGACTTCAGTCAGATAATCTTTGAGAGGCAACTCTTCCTTGGATCACCAAAAATACATTAAATTTGAGAAATGGATAATCCTAACCCGTTTAATTTTGTTTACACCCAGCTAGAATGGTGGAAAGCTGTCAAAATCCAACCCCAGAGAACAAGGTCATTACCTCCAACAAACTCATGTGTTCAAGCTGCCAATTTGAGGCTTAGAGTAAGCTCTCAAAAAGAGAGCTAATAGCAGTGCCTCTATGTAACTTGCAGCCAACTAGCTTAAAGGCACTTAAAGATATTTTATTGGCATGCAAGTCAGGAAATGCAACAATACTACTAAACTCCAGTGGTCCAAGATAGTGGTGAACTTTCATGATGCTCTGCTCCAAGTGACAGATGCAAGCCTTTGGAAGCTGTGCTAAAAGGGAATTATAATAAAACTGGCTGCATGGTGAGAAAAAAACACAGCCTCGTGGCAGGACAGTTATGAGAAATATGGATTCAGCTGGTGTTGTTTACACATTAGAAAAAATGTATTTCGCGCTAAATCCAATCTGTGATGTTCCAATGAGAATATGTGGCATCCAGTAATCCACTATCAAAGCTGATCTTCCTACTTGCATAAAGAGTGATATGAAAGAAAGAGGGATTAGAGACTCTGTTTTTATTTCATTCCTCTGAATGTTATCTTTGGAGGATTAAGAATGACTGATGCTGATACACTGAGACAACCAGTTGAGACCAAGTAATTCTTGAAAGAGAAAATTGACAGATATATCTGGCTGTGCACCTGAATACTAGGAAAATACTTAGGAAAGTGTGCTTTGAGTTTAGAGTGTTCATTCTGATAAATTTTATGTATATTTAATCATTCAGGAAAGAGGAGAGCTATGCGAAGTCTGTAGTAAATGGCACATTTGAAATGTCAGTTGGCATATTCATGAATATGTTTCCTACTTGTAAATAAAATTAAAAGAACTGGAAACATACTTCTATAGACTGAATACTTAAGTCCTCTACAAAATGTGCACATTTAAATTCTAACTTCAGGGTGAGGGTATTAGGAGGAAGGATCTTTGGAAGGTGTTTAGGTCATGAAAGCAGAGCTTTCTTGAATGGGATTACCTTATAAAAAGACCTCGGGGAGATCCCCTGCCCTTTCTCACCACATGAGGGCAAGCTCTCAAGATGTTATCAATCAGTAAGCAGGTCCTCACCAGACACTGAATCTGCTGGCACCTTGATCTTGCATTTCCCAGTCTCCGGAACTGAGAAATAAATTTCTGTTGTTCGTAATACACCCTGTTTATGGTATTTTGTTAAAGCATTCTAGATGGACTGAGATACATACATTGAAGCATTGTCTCTTAGAAAGTGTCCACACAGTTTTGCAAAACAAAAGAGACATTACAATGTCCACTCAGGGCGCAGACACAGTGAGTTTAGCACTGAAACTTTGGTTTTGGAAGCAGCAGATTCGCTGCAGTGGGAGTCTCAGAACAGAGGACAACCCAACGCTAGCTCCATAGCTGAGAAAGATGAATAGCTCCCAAACTCTTCCATTATCAGACCCTAGCAAAGTAGCTGGCAAATGTAGGTATTCGTTCAAGAATGACTTTTTTTCTTTTGACTTCTATTTTAGGTTCAGAGGTTACATGTGGAAGCTTGTTACATGAGTAAATCGTGTGTTACTGAGGTTTGGTGTATGAATGATCCCTTTACCCAGGTAGTGAGCATGGTTCATTGCTGGTGGCTTTTCAATCTATCCCCACCTCCCACTCTCCTGCTTCAAGGAGTCCCCAGTGTCTACTGCTCCCATCTTTGTGTCCATGTGTATTCAATGTTGAATTACTACTTATAGGTGATAACGTGGTATTTGGTTGTCTGTTCCTGTGTTAGTTTGCTTAGGACAATGGCTTTCAGCTGCATCCATGTTGCTGCAAAAGGCATGATTTCCTTCCCTTTTAGTGTACTATTTAATGGAACACATTTTCTTTATCCAGTCAGCTGTTGATGGGCCTCTAGGTGGATTCTCTGTCTTTGCTATTGTGAATAGTGCTGCAGTGAACACACAACTGCATGTCTTTTTGGTAGAACAATTTAATTTCCTTTGGGTATATGCCCAGTAGTGAGATTGCTGGGCTGAATGGCAGTTGTTTTCAGTTCTTTAAGAAATCTCCAAACTTCTTTCCACAGTGACTGAACTGATTTACACTCCCACTGGCAGTATATAAATGATTCCTTTTCTCCACAACCCATTTGTTGTTTTTTGACTTTTTGATAATAGCCATTATGACTGGTGTGAGATTGTATCACACTGTGGTTTTGATTTGCCTTTCTCTACTTATTAGTGATGATGAGCATATTTTCATATATTTTTTGGCTGCATGTGTGTCTTCTTTTGAGAAATATGTTTATGTCCTTTGCCCATTTTTAATGGAGTTATTTGCTCTTCTGTTTGTTGAATTACTTAAGTTCCTTATAGACTTTAGATATTAGAACTTTTTCTGATGTATAGTTGGTGAATATTTTCTCCCATTCTGTAGGCTGGCTGTTTACCCTGTTGATAGTTTATTTTGCTGTGCAGAAGCTCTTTAATTAGGTCCTATTCGTCAAGTTTTGTTTTAGTTGTAATTACATTTGGGGACTTAGTCATAAATTCTTTGCCAAGGCTGATGTCCAGAATGGTACTTCATAGCTTTTCTTCTAGGGTTTTTGTAATTTTAGATCTCCCATTTAAGTCTTTAATTCATCTGGAATTAATGTTTGTAATATGGTAAAAGGAAAGGGTCCAGTTCCAATCTTCTGCATATGGCTAACCAGTTATCCCATCCCTATTTAGGGAGTCCTTTCCCCATTGCTTATTAATTATTGGTGACTTTATGATCAGATAGTTGTAGGTGTGTGGCTTTATTTCTGGGCTCTTCATCCTGTTCCACTGTTGTATGTGTCTGTTTTTGTAACAGTACCATACTAATTTTCATGAATTTAAATTGAATTTCATGTCATCATGAAAGGTTGAGCAGATTACAAGTTGCAAATTGTCCCAGAAAATAAAAAAAATCATGAAAGTGTAGGTGTCATAAACATTATTGACTGACTGCTTGAAAAGAGTCACTTTATACATGAAATCTTCAGTTTTATTTCTAACAGTGAATGTATTTACTTTTATTTAAATATCCACTTGCAAAATGAGTTTTCTTAAATCAAAGGCCTGTACTTTTATCTCATAATGGTAAGTAATTAGCAACAAACCCACTTTGATGTGACATCAATTTTGTGTTGATATATTCTGTCAATAAGCTGTCATTACATGACTCAAACATCCTACTTAACAATACATTGTTCATTATATCAATATACTGGCTGGATGACTTTGTACCAGGAAAAAAAAAAATCTTACTTGAAGAATTAGTAGATTGCTTTTCATCAGATGATGACAATTAGATAATAGATCATTTCCTTTGTCATCTTGCCAGAATGCCAAGAACTAAATTTAATGATCAATGTAACTAATTAGGCATATGTTGATACATCTCCCTTACTTTCTTTGACATATTTTTATTTTCTCATTTTATCCTAATACTTGCATAGTAAACCTAAGCAAATAAATGCATATAAAATAGGTATACAGGTAGGTGACCAATCTATGGATCAGATATTTGTCATTATAAAGATGTCAAATCAAATAACCTGAACAAATCTTTTGTTGATAAGACAAACAAGACCTCAAGCTGAGTGAACTGGAAGTAATCACCTTCAGATTAGACCACCTCACTCTGCCTGTCATCACAAGCTTGCAAAACATCACACTTAAAACATTTATTAAAGTCAATAGATTATTATTATCTTCCTCCTCCAGTTTTAAATAAATGATTCAACAAAAATGTCTTACCTGTTTAAGAAGATTTTTTTGTCTTAGATGTAGTAAAAATAATTGGTACTTGCTTTTTGTTCCTTTTTTAATCAAAAGGTTGGGTTTAAACACCATCAGGAATTGTATTTTTCCTTTAATTTATTTATATAATCAGATTTGAATACTCAAATTAATCTATAAGAATATTTAAAATAATAATGGTTATTTTATATAGTTTGGATGTTTGTTTCCTTAAAATATCATGTTGAAATGTGACCTTCAGTGTTGGAGGTAGGGGCTGGTGGGAGGCATTTGATCATAGGGGCAGATACCCCATGAATGACTTCTCATACTGTGCTGCTAAGCCACAAGCAATTTCTTGCTTAGTTCTCATGAGATCTGTTTTTTTAAAAGACAATGGCACCTCTTCCCACCCTTGCTTCCTCTTACTATACGATGCACTGGCTGTCTGTTCCCTTCTGCCATGATTGTAAGCTTCCTGAGGCATCACTAGGAGCAGATGCTCACACCATGCTTTTTATACAGCCTGAAGAATAGTAAGCCAAAATAACCCTGTTTTCTTTATAAATTTATCCAGCCTCAGGTAATCCTTTAGAGCAACACTTGCAGACCAACATAGAAAATTGGTTCCAAGAAATGGGACATTGTTATAAAGATACCTGAAAATGTGGAATCAGCTTTGGAACTGGGTAATATGCAGAAGCTGGAAGACCTTGGAGGGCTCAGAAGACAGGAAGATGAGGGAAAGTTTGTAACTTCTTAGAGACTGCATAAATGGTTGGGATCTAAATGCTGATAGAGATATGGACAGTGAAAGCCAGGCTGATGAGATCTCAGACAGAAATAAGGAATTTATTGAGAATGGGAGTAAAGGTCACCCCTGTTCCTCCCTAGCTAGCTAAGAACTTAGCTTAATAGTGTTCATTTCTTACGGCTTTGTGGAAGGCAGAACTTAAGAGTGATGACCCAGGGTACCTTATGGAAGAAATTTCTAAGCAGCAAAACATTCAAGACATGGTCTAGCAATTCTAACAGCCTATGATCAGACATAGGAGCAAAGGAATGACTTAAAATTGGAATTTGTAATTAAAAGGAAAGCAGACTGAAAAGTTTGGAAAATTTGTGGGTTAGCAATGTAGGAGAGGAAGAAAAAGCTTTTTTTCAAGAGAGGAATACAAGTGGGCTTAGGAGCAACCACTTGCTAGAGAGATTTGCATGACTAAATGAGAGCAAAGTGCCAATAATGCAAGACAATGAGAAAAAGGCCTTGAATGCATTTCAGGGATCTTTGAGTAAGTCCCTCTTATCACAAGCCCAGAGGCTCAGCAGGAAAAAATGGTTTCCAGGGGCAGGCTCTTTGAGTTAGGGATTCACATGTGAATTTTGAAGACACATAATTCAGTCCATAACAACTATTATATTATACAATATATCTTTAAGTAAGTATTAAGTAAATATTGTCCAAAGATGAATGTGACATGATGTGCTTTCTAAGACACATAAACATATTTTCTAAACTAATCTATTTAACTAAAGAGGATCAAGTTCAAAATCTTTCAGCTTGTGTAAATATTATTAAAGTATTTGCATAGACATCAAGTCAAATGATACTAGATTAAGTGGATTTTCATATTATTTTGTCAACCCCTAGCTAATTCTATAAATTTTTTCCAAGCTTCATCATAGATTTAAGCATAAATTCTAGAGCCATGTTTTGTAAAAGCAAATATAGAAAATGTTCCCCTGTGACCGGGGGATAGGATATAAAAAGAAGTAATTAATGTTGGAAAACAAATGGTCAATTACATAAGATTAAAATTTATAATTTCTCCCCATGAAGGAAATGAATTGGTAGTTTACTATTAGTTTACAATGTTGGATACACACATATAAACATGCATGTTTATATGTGCATGTTTATATGAACATTTTAATAATATTCACACATGAACACACACATGCATATGTCACTACGGAACAGTAATCTATAATCAATAACTCTAAAACGTAATAGCCTAAATCTGGAAACAAACCAAATGCCTATCAACATTTGTGGTAAATGTTGTGGTAAACCCACATAATAAGCACTACACAGCAATAAAGGGAATCCATCACTGAAATACACAGCAGAATGGAGGAATCTTGCGGACACTACACGGAGCAAAAGAAGCCAGGCAATCAAAGGGATGAACTAACAGATGGTTACAGAACTCAGAAAGTGGCTGCCTCTGGAGGGAAAATTAGTCTGGAAAGAGACAAAAAAGAACTTTCTGTGGTGACAGAAATGTGCTAAATCTTATTTTATTTGATCATTACACAGGTCATAGTCATATATAATTGTCAAATATACTGAACTGAACATTTAAAATCCTAT